CTCTGTGCATGTCAAGCAGCAGAAAGCTAGGGGAGTTTGAAAGGTTATCGCTGTTTCTCTTTGAATTCCTGTGTACTGAAACCCTTCGGAGATGGCTGCCTACTGCAAATCATTGTTTGACAGCTTCACTCAACTTCAAGACTTGTCAACTCAGGGGGCAATCTGACAGCTCTCAGGCAATAAAGTAAACAAGGGATTTGGCGCGTCAGAGAAGGAATGCATAAAATCATTCCTAATATTTCTCCTATTCATAACATGTCACCAAGCCAGTGAAGTTATGAAGGCAGCAAGTCTCAGCTTCTTAAGCATCCCAGGTGCGCATTTGCAGGATGAGGAAAAGCTTGGGGGAACCCTGGCAACCGGCTTCCACCAACTATCATCTAGATTTGTTCCACTGACGGTATTCCTGGTAACAATGAAAACTCAAGGCATTCTTCTTCAGATGGATGTTTTTTTCAGGTATCATATGTACTAGCCTGAATTAAAAGGTGATTCAATACTGGTGGAAGCAGAGCCTCGTTTAATAGTAGCTCTTTAAAACCAAAGATGACCGCGTTGTAAGTTTTCTGTGTAGTAATATAGTTAAGGGATACTTCTTTCATAGCAGCCATGAAACCTGCAGACACTTTGGTTGTACAAACGCTCGGATGCAGAATCTGTAACGGTGCCGGAACCTGCTGGGGGTTGTCACTCCATGGATTTGACCACTTACATTTACGGACTTACAACTTGCACATGAAGTAGCAGCTACCTTTTCTGAAGCAATCACTTTTATAGGGCCTTTGTGGAAATTGCCTGAGACACCTTAAACAGCCTGTTTTTTTGCAGGATGCTGAGCCCAAATTCTGATAACATGGCTATGTTGATGCATCACCAATGGAATGCTCAACATTATTAGCAGCTTTTAAGAATGTAACCTGGTTCTTTGGCTATTTTCCTGTGTATGTTCCTGTATTCCTATTGGGGAATAATTTGATACAAAACAAAGTATGGAAAATCTGACCTAATTTTCACACTAGTGTGACTGTTCCCTGCACATCTATTTTGAGAACTCCTGCTGGTAACACACCTAGAGCTGACCCCTTTGTTAACTGCGTGGCATGTGCATGACAATAAATTACCTGTTGTCATTATTGAAAATGACTAATGGCCTGTTAGCCTTTTAGGACATTATTTAAAAGTCATTTTTCTAAAAGAAGAACTATATTCCCTCTTGAGGTAATGCTTTTTTTTTTTCCACCCCTTTAAATAACTCTATTAACTGTTGCTGCTCTGTGCTATTATATGTGGTTTTCCAATTACAGTAGTTGCTGTGCAGCAGGCTTGCAATCACAGCTAAATTGTCTTTTGATTCCTTTTCTAATAAGGACACCTAACTGAACACCCAGCTCAGGTAAACCTCTGTAGCTGTGTTTTCAATAGATCTAAGCTGCTATCGACTAGCTGTAACATTTAGGGTAATGTTAAAGATCTTCATTTACTGCAGTATTACAACTCCATTAATTCACATTTTAAACTGAGCCCTGAACAAATGCACTTCAGCAGCCACTTGTGCTTGCTAAAAGATTAAAGGCTCTGAACCATGTGAAGAAAGGAAATCTTTATAGGTTGCTAGCTAATGGTTGTTTTCTTTACTGTTAGAGTCAGTGTATTGAATTGTAATGGACTGGATTGACTCCACATAAGGAAATTACAAAGAACAGGATCATTTTTTTGCAGGTGAAAATGTCACTCATTCTGGAAGTCAGCTTTACGCTTCAAAATGCTGGACTGCAAAATCATGTTTGAAACTCTGATGGGTCTTTTTAGCATGATATTGCTTGCTTGTTTATCTGCCTTGTACTTTGAATTAGCAGCTTAAATAGCTGTAAATACAGTTAGTTTGACATCAGACATGGAGGTGCATGTAGTACTTTACATTATGCTGTGACAATATGGAATACATGGGATCTCCAGCTTGCAATGCACATGAATACTTGGTCAAAGGCACACACAGTGCTACCAGTGTGCAAGTAAAAATTGATCAGAGGAGTAAAACTCTGTTCTTTTGCAGTGTTCCTAAGGCCTAAGCTGTATTTATGGATTTATGTCTTGCTGCTACTGTCATGACAAACTCAGACACATCATAGCTGCTCAGACTAAGTGGCAGAAGGGCAGAGAATGTTTCCATGGCTAAAACTGCCCTTACTGCATAAAGCTAGACAGAGAGTGATGGGAGTTAATCACTGAAACATGAACAGGCAGGACTAGCTTGTCATAATAAGAAGCTATCAAATCACAGCTCTGTTAAACTCTTCAATGTTTTATCATAAGCAGCTGTCAAACTCTTATAATTTCATGATTAATACATTACAGAGTGATTTCCTCCCTCATACTGTTGCCTGTAGCGGGTTTTTTAACTGGAGGTGGGTTTGGTAATTTATTTAAAGCGAGCTGCAACTCTGCATGTGTATGTATACAAACATGTAGAAGAGCACACATTTTCCTCCTTTAAGGAGGAAATAATTCTCAGGCCTGGCTCCATGCATAGGAGGGGACTGCTCCGTACATCCTGCCTTTCATCGTGCCCCTTGGAAGGCAAAGAAGTAGGGTTGCAAGCACTTGTGTTAAGCTAGGCAAACCTAATTCACTGTATCTCCCCATAGTAACGTCTGTGAGTAGTGTCACTAGAAATAGCTTCAGTGTCACCTATTCCTGTGGAAAAACAGAATGGAGTTATCACTGGTTTGTACATGGACGAAATTGAGGGTGAAAGAGAGAGTGTAATCATTGCTAAGTCTCTCTCGTAGTGTTTTCAAGTGAAGGAAAAAGCACGGGACATCTGCTTTACCAAGGAATGTCTGGGGCTGCTGGTGCACTGTTATAAAAGTTGTGAGGCACTTGAACCAAACTAGGAGAAACAAGATGGCCATTAAATAACTCAAAGCTCTGGCCACCAAAAGGCTTCTGGGCTATCCCTTAGAGGGCCCTGCTGTGCCCCCTTGGGCGATGGGAGCCAGTGACTTGAGGTATTTGCATGTTTCACTTGAACTGAAATTAGTGCCCTTGGAAATTAGTGCTAAACAACAGGTATTACAGGCTGTAATAATGACTGAGTTGCTCTTTGCTATAGCAGACCCCAGCCACGACAGGATTTCTATCTTTTGGGAGACATTTCAGATCAGCCTGCAGTCTGAGGCTTTTTTGGACTTGTGGCTTTATGGATTTGCTTGTTTAAGACAGTTGGTGTTTGCTTTAAGTTTTTAAGCAATAAAATAATAATAATAGTTTTTTAAAAGCTTTGAAGAAAACTGCTGCCAATGTCTGTTTCTTTTGGAATTTCTAAAAAGGTTTCTGAGGAGGGCTCCTTTGTGACAATATAATTAAGCAATGAGACATGACAGCTAGTCATTTCAGGGTTATTATTGTATGCCTAAGGTGGCATTGCAGGCATGAAGCTGAAGGGCGAGTGGCTTTAATCACCCATTAAGTGCAATAATCCCTTTGATACGCACTGTCTGGAAAGACTTATCAAAAAGGAATTTAGGAACAATATTAAGATGAACAGACAAACTGGTGAAGACACCAGGCGTGAATATTGATGTGGTTATAACATCACTGACAGACACACTAAAAGCTCTATTTGTGTCATGTTTTCATCATTAAAAGCACCCTGAAGGAATGACATTTAATAAGAAGCAAAATATTACAAGGAATTCTTTGATATTTTGGGTGTTTTTCATCCTTAAATATTTGTTTTATATACTTCAGGCGTAGATCACATAGACTTTAAAGTGAATCAGCTCATCTATGCAGTACAGCTGGATAAAAATGCAGATGGTAGACAACGATACAGTGCAGTCCTATCATAAAATCAGTTAATCTGTGACCCGCAATTCTAGCTCACTTCAGTACCTCTGCCTCACACTCTGCTCCCAAGGGAAGCAGCTCTTCCAAAGGAGAGAGTTCCTTCATATGGCCTGTGAAGATGTGTGGTTTCCACATCTGTTTGAGCTTGTAGAGCTGGGAATTGAGTGATAGTCTTCAATGGTGATACAGAGATAGATGCCAAATTGCCAAGCTACTTCATTGACTTAGTAAAATATTTTGACTGGTTTTAAAGGAAGGGCATAAAACGTGGTTATTTTCATATGAAATGGATTATGGAAAGACACAGTTTTTCAAAGAAATGTAATTGTGTGAATTTTTGAAATGTGAAGTTTTATGCTATTATGCCACTAAGTGGAGAAATCCAGTGCCAACATAAATGTTGGTAACATGTTCATTATATTTGCAGTTCTGAAAATGTTTGCTTTTCCTTGGCCTCCTTCATGTGTATTAATACATTAAAATAATCATCCAAATGTAAATATGAGGGATTAAAATATTTGCTATGACTCGATATAATTGCCCTATGCTGTGGAAAAGAGTATTTTGCTGAATTGGCTTTTGTGTGAACTTAGGCGATGTTTGCCTATTTTCTGCTGTGTACAAAAAGCTTTGCCCTCTATTTGAAGCCTGCTTTGACTGTGTAATTACTATGCTCCAATTTCTTTCCATTTGGACAATCAAGGTTTCTCCTGTCAGGCCATTTGAGTACACATGGGCTGAACAATTAAAATCTTCCTGTTGTGGGTGCATGGGGGGTTGTGGGGATTTTGTTTCAGGAGAGAAGAAGGGATAAAAACTGTAAAGCTGTAAATGAAAATTGATGAGAATTGGACCTATGTTTTGCTTTTCAAGGAAATTTATGGAAATGCAGCATAGCAGGGCTGTTGTCACTGGTGGCCTTCAAAGGAAAAAACACCAAAATGAATTCTTTGAACAATATTTAAAGAATTAGACTTAAAAAAGAAAAGGAAAAAAAAAAGTCAACAAAATTTGCTCCAAAGAAAGGGTTAAAAAAAATCTGCTGAAATTTCCCTAGGGACAGGATAGTCTAGTTTTGAAAAAAGTCATTGTTATGCTAGTAATAGGATACGCCTTAAGCTTGTTCTGAAGTTTTATTTTCTTTACTGCAGGTTGAGAAAGTTTCTCTCCATCGAATTCCATGCAGTTGTTCTGGAAAGGAATGGCAAAGCTGTGCAAGGCTTCACAATGAAAAAAACCCCTCTTCCTGTAAAGGCAGGACCCTGCCAAAATAAATAGGGACTGCAGCAAACGGTACAGATGGTCATTTCTTTTAAGCACGTGTGTATGTATTGTATATAATATGAGCATACATACGTAGCATATATATGGGTGTGTATTTACATAAATTTGCATACATATCAATATTTTTTTAAATATACATTCTGGAGCCTACATAATCAGTGCAAGCTTTCCTGGAAACTGAGCTCTTAGCACTGAAGTTCATCCTGTAGAATGCTGAGATGAAGGTTAACATGCTGGGATACAAAGGCTAATTTCTTAATAACGATAAAGTTACTGAAAGCAACGCAAGCTCCTGATGCCTGAAACAGCCAGATGAAAATGGCATGGTCTAGTGATTAGAAGGTTTTAGAAGGAAATAATACTTTTCTTGTCACTGGGCTGCATTGGCAGAATGAGTGCAGCAGCTGGAACGCATATGCAGAGTGTTTACTGGAGCGACTCTTACACTTTCAGACAGAAGGAAATCCTGTGCAGGATTGGAAAGCGCAGAGAGCTGTCACCAGGGAATAGGCTGTCTGTGTGTCTCCATGAAATAAAAGCTGTGCGGACGACAGAGCCTGCAGTGGGCACTTCCTGCCCCCTTTGCTGCAGCAGTTCAAGATTCCTTTTTCTTTCTGCCCCTTATTTATTTATTTATTTATTTATTTTGCTGAAAGATATTTAATCTGCTGGTATTATCAACAGAAATGCTGATAAATCAGGATTTGCTTTGTATCAAACTTCAAAAATACGATTAAGTATGGGGTGTTTTTTTGTTATTGGCTTTTGGGTTGGGTTGGTTTGTTTGGTTGTTTGGCAGAAGGAGAACCTGGAGACCTCGCCATCCCTCAGGTTGCATAGGTTGATCTGTCTAGGTTAATAAGACGTCTGATATTACTTGGGGTGGGTTTTGCTTGTTTGGGGTTTTTTTCCCCCAAAGCTGTGTAGCTTTCTAGCTACTGTGAATGCATTTAAAGCAGTAACAACTCCCAGCAACTAAAAGCTTCAAACACAAGGTGTGGTTTATTGTTTGCTAATGTCCAGTATCTGCTAATGAGTAAGAAAACATGTTAATTATCCAAATAAGTTTTTAAAGCCGAAAATAATGATGTGTTTATGTGACAGATTTGTGGGAGGGATTTCAAATATAATCATCATCAATCTGGCTACAGCCAAAATAAATTTTATGAAAAGTAAAACAAACTGTTGCACAGACAAAGTAGGCCTTCGGGGGCTCGTGTAATAATCTGTTTTCTTATTGAGCTGTGTATAATATTTCTGTTCATTTCTTGTCCAGATAGGATCTCAGTGTATATAACATTGCTGTTAAAGCTAAGAAGAGTCAACAGATGCCACTACCCAAAGGAGAGGGGAGAAAGAAATGAACAAGAAATGCAGACATACAGTTTTTGTGTCAAATAAAGAAGCCATGCCCAGGTAACCGTGTCAGGCATGGTGCAATTGTAAAGGTAAGCATTAAACAGAAGAGCTTTAATGTAAGGATGGTAACTTTTCACAGGAATATGTGACTATGTCAGGGTGTATGTTCCAGAAACCCCAGATGCTGCTGTCACTACTAATAAAATTATTATGAGTTTCGAGCTTTCTGGTGACGTTCCTGTGTATGTTCTCTCTTTTACTGAATGGAACTGTCACATGTAATCAGATGAAGGAGAGAGTTGGGGCCCCCATTTCAGAAGCACGGAGGCAGCGCTTACACAGGAGCAAAGTGGCCAGTAGCCCCAGTCAGCGCTATCTGCTCTGGCCTGAGCTCAGTGGCATGCAATGGATGGGGGAAGCTGTGCTGGTGTTCGGGTGATGGTGAGCCAGGTTGGCAATGTTTTTTGGTGCTGAGGTTCTGAAGGCTACTGAGCACAGCAACTGACTCCCAATGGACCTGCTCTATTAATTGCTATCACTGATGACGAAAGGCTTAAATTCCTACTTGCACCAGTTCCAGTAAAAATGCATCAGTCATTTTTGATTCTTTTCTTGATGCTTTTCTGCAATTATGTTTTAAGGACATTTTTGCCAGAGAAAGGGCTTTTGGGTTGAGCTGAAGCCATGTCACAATCTTTCATTCACAAGTTCAAATGCATTACATCCAGCTGCCAAAAAATATCTGCTTTGGCATCATTGTTCAGCTTCCCTGTTCCCGTTATTGCTTTCCAGCCAGTGTAATGGGAGTATGTGGCTGTCATTCAAACAGATGAAAACCTTTGGCATTGAAAATATGTCAAGGGGTGCCTGTTTTTTAAAGGAAATACACCCCTTCCTACTATTGCATGGTTTCTTGATCTGATAAACCCCATCTTGTGCTAGCATTTAAATTAAATGCGCTGTATTCTGACCCAACAATAACAAAATCAAACCCACTCATTGCCAAGTATCATAAGCTCTTAAAATACATTCAGACAGTGCGATGATATTAATAGGGAAGCAGATATCAGGTTTCGGCCGACAAAGCAAACCACACGGTGGAACACGAGAAGCACTGTGCTTACTGACTTCAGAATAATATGGAAGGCAGAAGCCCTATCAAAAATTATACTAATAATCTAATACTGTACATTTATATGGAAACTTAGTCTGGAATATCTCAAAGGTGCTTCACAAAGAGAGACATTTTTATCTTATCTCTCCATCTAGGTGTCTGAGGTAAAGAGGTTAAGCAGTTTGGACTCGTATTTCAGAAAAAGCATTTTCCAAGGTGTGTCTCAGCAAATGCTCTTTAAGAAACTAGGTCATATTGCAGCAAAAAGACACAACAGTCAGTGGGGAAATTGCTGAATTCCACCAGAATTTGGTGAGACACCAGACAAAGCTTCAGTGTCTGCTTGCCCAGTTCTTAAACTTTCCTGTTGAACATCTCTACTAACGTACTTAAAAGTATGAAGGGGCACCGGGATGGACTTTAGGTCTTATCTGCTGTGGTTGCCAGTGGCAGACCTGGGAATAAAGCTTGGCCTGCACTTTCCAAGTCTGTAGTTATGCTAGTTAACCCTAACCCTAACCCTAAACACGCATCCACAATACATAATCTGCTGACATATTGGTAATTAGTTTTTTAAAAGCTAGTGAGAAATCTTGCTCAGACATTTTTATATGATTAACAGGAAGGCTGAATTTCCCTATTGTTGTCCTTATATATATCTAGATCATACCTGCTCTGAGAGGGAATGTAACTGAGCTCTATAATGTTTTAATCAAAAGAGTGGACTATGGAAATAAACTTATTCCAGTTCTGGCAGCTGCATGGTGATTTCTGACAACACGGTTGCAGTTGCATCAACAGTTTCCCTGGCCACACCTATAACCTTGGAGGGTGTTCTGCTCCTCAGAGGGGGTATACCGTTCTTTCTGGATCTCAGTAAGAAAGGCATTGCTACAAATAAAGTAATGAAATTGCTTTCATAATAATAAGATAGAAATAGGAAAAAGAATATAGATAGTGGGTAAATCTTGTCTCCCTTTGGATGTCAGGAACGCTGCATCTGTGCTGCATCAAACAGACCCCAAATAGACAGCCAAAGCATGCTGTGCACAGTTCCCTCTATGGAGAGGCTCAGCCTCCCTCCCATGCCATGGTGCCTTTATTCAGCACAACAGACAAAACCATATTGCTTGTCTTGACAGGTAGGAGTGTTATCTCTTTCCCTCTGTCCACCAGAGCATATCCAGCTGCATGTATCCAGGAATGATACAGTACACGTTCAGGTTGCACCCAACGAAGCAGAGCTTTCCATTTCAGTTGTCTGTGAGATTAATATTATCATCTTTGTGTAGTTATATCATTTTTGTAGCCTGGACAGAACTGTTCTCCTTTTCCTTTTACTTAACCTGTTGTAATACCAGACCTCAGCATACAGCCAGAGAGCTTGCTAATGGAAGGCAAACCAGTCTTGACTTCTGTGTTAAATCTGCAAGGTGATGCAATAGTATACATTATGGACATCCAGAATTGTCTGCTTCCTGCAATCTATGTTGTAGGCTTATTGATAATAATGGTTTTATATTCTGACTTATAAAATCTTGAGTGTTGTATTGCATTACTGTAATTGCATGCTCATGATAGGTCTTGGACCAAACTCATGGAAATAATGAAAGAATTACAGATAGGTTAAGTACGAAGGAATTGTTGGTTCAGCTTTGGTACTATGAAGGACATTGGTAAACAGACTAAGCTAATTTGTAGACCAGTTATGGCCATCCAGCACAGGAAGTTCACTCATTACTGGGAAGTTAAGGAATTCTGAGCTGAAATCTTTCTCAAAGAATTTAAACTCATTTATCTGATGTCTTCTGTGCGTTATCAAAATGTTGTCTTCGATTGTTTTGATGAACAGCTACCAAAAGGATGTCCCTGGGAGTGTCTAGGATCCAGGCAACACTATAAAACCCGGGTGCCCAGATATTTATCATGGAAATGGACTCTGTAGGTATCACTGTGCACCTGTGACCCCATAAAGGAAATAGAAAACTTTGTAGGAAATCTGTCCTTGTGCTTTGTTTGAGTTCTTTCTGTTAATGGGCTTAAGTGCTGCTGCTATTATGTAAACAGGAATTAAAACACAGGTTGTATAAATATAATGCATTTGAAAAATTGAGTGAATTTGGTTCACTGTCAGTGATTAAATGGCCTCGCTGCTTGATATCGACCAACTGTGCACAGAACCAGACAACGGTTTGCTCCTGAGCTATAACATGTTGATGTGTGCAGAAAATCTCTATTTGTGTACATATTCTTTTTACAACAGGGTAGACTACAGTGGGTACTGCTGATGGGATGTGACCCCATGTCTCATTATCTCTGCCTCCAACCAGTGCTATCTCCATGACAGGGTACTGTACCGCAGAGGCAAAGTGGTAAGTCTGACGTAGTGGGCTGATGTTCTGGACAAGGGAGTTTTGTGCACACAGATTGTATAGGTTCCATCTGATTGACAGTTTTTGCACACCCTGGCAAGTAATCTGCAGCTTTCCTGAGTGTCACCCTCAGGATTGCCAGTCTTTAGCTGGTTTAAAGCAGTGTCCTTGTCATTTGCTTCCTGTCACTGGTTAAAGTTTCCTAAGTGTTAACATCCTTGTATTTCAATGTCTGCCTAAGAGACATGCAAACAGAAGTGCCAAGTTCTCTGGCAAATCCCTAATTCTTCTGTGCATCCTTTGTTAGTGAAAGGTTGCTCTCAAGAACAAAAGGGAACTGTTTCTAACATGTTTACTTTTGCAAGCAATGCCTCTTCAGCATCCTTTTTTTATTGATTTATATTTAAATTGGGCAGGGGGGAGTGTTCTTTTCCTGTAGGTTTTCCCTGTGGCTCAGTTAACTTTGGCAGCACCTGTGCATCACTACCAACACCACTTGGGGATATTGGGTTATACCAACACATCCAGATTCTGCCATAGTACTGATGATGTCTCCAAAAAGAGGCCTGGATACCCTTAGTTCTTTCAGCACATTTCAGCTCGCCTCATTGCCTGTGGAGTTTATTCAGACACTATCTTAGACTTGCACAAGAAGAGGGTTTTTTTTCATGAGCTCCTCCATGCCTTGTCCAATCTGGCTAATCCTTAGTTTATGACTAGGTATTTGTTGAATATATCATTGTTTCTTTTTCTGATATGCAAAGTGGTGAGGTTTACAAGCTTTTTCTCATAACCTGACCAAGGCTTTGATGCTGGTTGTGTAGTCTTTAAGGCAGCGTTAAAGGCTTGTGCAAAGGGAATGGGACTCAGTTCTTGATAGATTATTATGGCTGGCTATAGCCCAGGGCAATAAAATTCAAGACAGGTCAGCCTAAGGTCTTCAGAAAAATCGTTTGCAAGTAGATCAACAACTAAGGAACCTGCCTGAATGTGAAAATAAGAACTATAAGTAAGTGAAGTAGGTGGTTGAAGTTCAAGTTCCAGGAAAACAACAAAAATAACCCACTCCCCAAATGCTTGCTGATGGGAAAGAAGACACTGGGGACTCAACAAAGGCACGAATTCATGGGTTTTTTCAAATTCACAAAAATAAAGCTGTATGTATCATAATTAAATTGTGTTTGAAAAAGTCCTGGGGTATACAAATTCACTGCTTATGTACATAGTGACCATAACAATTGATGTATTCACCTTCAAATCACTTCATAAACTTCAGCTAACATCCCTCATTCCTATACCTTTTCACAGTTATCCTGTGAGTTAAAAGCAAGCATGTGTGTTCTCAAAGGAGTTTTTGTGTTTATACATACTTTTATTGAGAAGAATCTACCTTGGGAGGATCTGTCACAGCGGAAGAATCTATGTAAAGGAAATCGAGTCTTTTCTCTGGATCATGATCAATGGTCTGTTTCCTCAAGCAGTCACAAAGTTGATAAAAGAAAATAGGAATACATGACACTAATTAACTGGTGAGGGAGGCACCTGTTGGATATTTGACCTTGTTGAGCTGAGATGCAGGTTAAGTAGTAGTGAACTTATGCTTATTTTGCAATAATCAGGTATATTTATTTCATGCCTGTATTTTTGTATCACGCTTATTTTGCAATAATCAGATAAT